AGCTTTTTTTTTTGAAAGTTCCAGGCATTCAGGTTCCTGGGTTTCAGGGAAGGAATGATTTCCGCTGATTTGCATCCCAAGTGGAGCGCGAGGAAAACGATGCGGAAAAGCCCACTTGCCTCCCCTAGCTCTTGTATCTTTACCACCTAGGCCTACACCATCAATCCCAGGGTGTTTACCTGGCGCTTTGCAATTCACAGTGCGCTTCCACACTGCAGTCAGGTTAAGAACGAATTTTATAGGTGGTTCGTGAGTTCCTACCCCTCCTCTCCAACCTGGCTACCTTCCAAAAGGAAGATCCTAGTTTGAATTTTGGCCAAGGCAGGAGCCCATTTTCACTAAATTTACCGATGATGTATGTCTTCTTTTCCCTTGCTAGTTTCCATTTTAGCCTCTAAAGCTGCCAGGCACGGTGTTTTTCTGGGCCGGGGACAGATTACCCGACAGGCAAGGTAGGCATGAATTTACTTGTGCTTATTTACTAATCTGTAGTGCCCAAGTGAAATTGTTCACTACAGATTAGTAAAGAAACACAATTAAACCCATGTTTACCTTACTTACTTTAAGCCTGCGCATACCTTGCTTACTGGTTAATACCCCCCCTGCCTGAGCCCTTGGGTGCATAGATTCCTGTAATTGGGCAAGTTACTCAACCTATCTATGCTTCAGTTTCCTTTTTTTTTTTTTTTGTAAAGTAAGAATAATAACCCTGAAGTAACTTCATAAAGTTGTTTTGACAATTAGATAAACTGATAAATGTAAAGCGCTTAGAACACTACCTGGCACATAGAAAGTGTTAAGTGATAGCTAATTTTATCTGGTTTCTCCATAGTGATTACCAATTATCTACATATTGGCTTTCCATTTGCTGTCCTTTGCATCTATCACTTTCACTCTTTTTAAATATTTTATTGTGTTTTAGGTGAAAGTTTACAGAGTAAATTAGTTTCTCATTTAACAATTAGTACACAAAGTGTTCCTTCCATGACATTGGTTGCAATCTCCGCACTGTGTCAACACTCTCCCCATTTCTGCCCTGGGTTCCCTGCTTCCTTTTGTCTGGTTTTCCTACCCCTTCTTGCCTTCTCATCTTTGCTTGTGGGCAAATGTTGCCCTTTTGGTCTCGTATAACTGTTTGTTCTACAGAGCACGTTCTTTTCGGGTGTTATTGTTTATTTTATAGACCTGTGTATTCCTTGGCTGGAAGGTAGTCCGGGAATGGCTGCAGTTCCAAATCAGAGGGGTGTCTTAAAGCCATAGTCTCGGGTCCCTCGAGTCTCTATCTGGCCAGTAAATCTGGTCTTTTTTTTTAATGAATTTGACTTTTTGTTCTACATTTTTCTCCTGCTCTGTCCAAGACCCTCTATTGTGATCCCAGTCAGAGTGGTCGGTAGTGATAGGCAGGCACCACCTAGTTCTTCTGGTCTTGTAGGCTGGGGGGCATGTGGTCCATTAGTCCTTTGGACGAAGTGATGCCTTGAGTCTTTGGTTTTCTTCACCCTTCTTTACTGCAGACGGGAAGAGACCACTAGTTGTATCTCAGATTACTGCTCGCAAGCTTCTAAGACCCCAGACGCTACTCACCAAAGTAGGATGTAGAACATTGTTTTTATGCACTATGTTATGCCAGTTGACGTAGACATCCCCCAAGTCTATGGTCCTTAGCCTTCAAGCCTAGTATCTTCATCCCAGGTGTTTGGTTGTGCATAAGAAGTTTCTATGACTGTGCCTCTTGTGTGTTCTATTGTCTATGTTAGTATATATGCAACATCTACAGATATGTATGTAGAGATATCCACAACCACCTATATCTGCAGGTGGGTGTGCTCCCTTACACCCTCCCACACCTCTTTAGCATACCTATCTACCCCTTCATAAATTATTGTTTATTAATATTGTTGTTGCAGGATTGTCTATGTTATAGTAATTGCCGTAGTTGCCCTTTGTTCTTGTGTTCCTTTCAGAGTCTTCCTTTGCCTTTGTCACGCTGTGCTGATTTCCCCCATATAGTGTATTGCGTTCCCTTTACCAATATTACCATGTGTCTTCTATCTATTTAGAAATTTGCCCTCCCTCCACCTCCCTTCCCCGGTAACCATCAAAGACTGTTTTTTTTCCTGTGTGTAAACTTTTTCTTCTTCTTCTTTTTTTAAATAATAGTGGTCTCATACAATATTTGTCCTTTTGTGATTGGCTTATTTCACTCAGCATAATGTCCTCCAAGTTCACCTATGTTGTGAGATGTTCCACGGATTTGTCATTATTCTTTATTGTTTTGCAGTATTCCATTATGTGTATCTACCATTGTTTGTTTATCCATTTACTTTGTCTTATTCTATTTTCTTTATCTTTTTCTTTTGAATCATGGTGAGCTCTAAAAGAATATCTTATACATAGTGATTCAATTTCCCACAGCATCAATTCTGTTCTTCTCAAGAATGACTTTAATTATGTTGCTTCATTTTAAATATGTTTGCTATATGTTTTTAATCTAATTCATCCCTCTTTTCATCTACTGACTTTTTATTTCAGCCTATTCTCTCACAGCTTTCTGTTCTTGTTCCATGCAGACCATAGCTTCTTGCAATCCACTGAGAATACCAAATTGTTTTCTGAATTTCTTTTCTAGTTACTACGTTAGATTTTTTCTGAAATCTGCTCTTTGAGACTTCTATTTTTTTTTCTCTTTTTATTTTTCTTTTTTCTTTCTTCATTTTTTTTCTTGAAATTTATTGGACTTTAGATGAAGGTTTACAGAACAAACTAGCTGCTCATTAAACAGTACAGATACTGTTTTATGACATTGGTTATGTTGTAGAGGGAAAACATCATAAAATTTAGTAAAGCAAAAAGGAAGTTTTATTTGGCATATATTCAAAAGGACAAAAGTGGAAAGCAGACAAGCATGCTGCCAGAGCTGACTGTCTGCCCGAATCCGAGGAAGGTTACAGAATCATCAGTATATATCAACATCACAAAATGGGTAGAATCACTGAAAGTGTTAGCTTTTCACAGATTGGCTAGAAATTGTGATCTTACATTTTGAATCATCTTTCTTAACAATCATGGTACAGGTTTCAGTTACAAAAGTCAGGAGGGTCCAACAAATTCCTATTCACTAAATGCTAATAGAAAAAGACAAAAAGTTAGAAGTCTTTTGTGTTAGGTTTGATTGCCTTTTTGTGAAAACATCCTTAAGATAATTTCTGAGATTAGCACATCTATTGTCTATCTCAGGGCCCAGTTGATGCGTCTTTGTGAGTCTTTGAGGGCCCAGCCCCAGCTGGGTCACATTTCTCCATGCTCAAGGTCAGGGAATAAGGATTCCAAATATTATTTTCTAAATCAATTACTGTCTTAGTCATCTAGTGCTGCTCCAACAGAAATACCACAAGTGGATGGCTTTACAAAGAGAAGTTTATTCTCTCAGAGTCCAGTAGGCTACAGGTCCAAATTCAAGGCATCATCTCCAGGAGAAGGCTTTCTCTCTCTTTCGGCTCTGGAGGAAGGTCCTTGAGGTGCATCAGTCTTCCTTTGGTCTGGGAGCATCTCAGCGCAGGAACCTCAGGTCCAAAGGATGCGCTCCACTCCCAGCACTGCTTTCTTGGTGGTGTGAGGTTCCCATGTGTCTCTGCTCACTTCTCTCTTTTATATCTCAAAAGCGATTGGATTAAGACACTATCTAATCTTGTCACCCTCATCAGTATAACTTCATCACAGTGATAGAATTTACAACACATAAGGAGATCACATATAATCTCATCATAGTGATAGAGTTTACAACACATAAGGAAATCACATCAGACTACAGAATCATACAACGCTGGAAATCATGACCCAGCCAAGCTGACAGATATTTTGGGGGGACACAACTCAATCCATGACAGTTACCAACCCCACGACATGTCAACACTCTCCCTTCTCCACCTTGGATTCCCTATTATCAGCTTTCCTGTCCCCTCCTGCCTTTTAGTCCTTGCCCCTGGGCTTGTGTGCCCCTTTAGTCTCGTTTTGTTTTACCAGCCTGTCTAATCTTTGGCTGAAGGGTGAAACCTCAGGAGTGACTTCATTACTGAGCTAAAAGGGTGTCCAGGGACTATACTCTCAGGGTTTCTTCAGTCTTTGAAACTTCTAGATGTTGTTCTTTGTCCCTTGACTGTAACTTTGTTTTTCATATATTCGGTGTTAGGATTTCCAGGTGTAGTGTTTTGGCCAAGTGTACAAGCTGAGTGATGAGTTGACCTTAGCTTTTCTATCCAAATGCTGGGGATAGGATGAATGGAAGCACAATAAAGTGCGTGGGCCTCAATTTAAAAATATAAACACCTACAACTTTTGTTGGATTGTTTTCTGCCAAGAATACACTAACAGACCGATCTTGGGTCCCATCCGCTGATATAGGCATAGATAATGCACAACTGTAGGGCAAAACACGGTAACGCCACCTCTTGGTTTCTTTCAGCATTTCTTAAAATGTGGGTTGAGCGACCCATCTAAAATCGTGAGAACAGTTTCATGGGTCATGACAAGCATTTTAAAACAACAAAGCAATAGAACACAAAATAGAATGCCGGACAGGTGGTGAAGGTAAACATTGTTTTGTGAAACGCTTGTTTCGGTCTTTAAATTATATGTATGCAAATAAGTATTTCTTCCAACCAGTCCCAGTCAGAGAAGTTTGAAGGGGACTGGCCTAACGCATACCCGCACGTGACACACGCAAGGGCTAGAAACTGGCAGATAAGACGCCGGACCTCGCGCTGCGCAAACGCGCAGGCCAGCAAAGGCTTCCGGAAAATGGAATCTAGAAACGTCATCGTGGAGGATTCTGGGAATAGTAGTTCCGTGTATCTGCCGGGCGCGATCAAACGCAGCCTGCGTGGGAGGGGCGGGGCTCTCTCGGCCCGACCGGAAATGGCTGTTGAAACCGGCTGTAGGCGTGAAAAGAGGTGGGCGCTCGGCAAGTCCAGCTACCTTGGCTCCCTTCGCACCGCCCCCGTGCTTCCGGACTCGGAATCAGAGTGTGTGGGTAGAGCTTGCTGGGGGCGGGGAAGAGAAGGGGGGCAGAACAGGTAGCACCATGGCAACCGCCGGACCTTTGGGCGCGTGACGTCACTCTTCTGGCTTACTGTCGAGCGGCCTCAGTGGGAGATAGCTAGAGAATCCTGGGCAGGGACGCCCCTCGCCTCCCTCAGCGTTTGCCGGGCCCGCCCTGATCCCTTGGAGGGCTTTGTTCTTTTGTTCCAGTCTTGAGGGAGGACAGGAGCCGGGCCACGCCTGGCTGGTCTATCTCCCAGCTTTTCCTCTTCGCAACAGGTGTGTCTTCCTGTATTCGAACCGGCGGGGATGTGAGCCCTGGAGTGTGTACGGAGGGACCAGGCTGGGTCTTCGTGCGCCTCTGACCAGACTCTAGGGTAGGCACAAAGTTTTTTGTTTTTGTGTTTTGGTCTGGGCTCAACCTACTTACTCGGTCTCTATTTTTGTTTAGCGGGACCGCCACATGCTTGTCTTGTGCCCTTTCGGGTCGCTTCCCTTGTCCGGGACCTCTTGGCCACTCTACAAGACTGAGGTGTGATTGTGTGACGGATGCTGCTGATTGCACCCTGTGTCTTTTAGGGCAGCCAAACTCAGCGTATGTCAGGGCTCGGACTGCCTGCAAGTAGAGCTGGACATCTGACCCCAGACTGAGATCCCAGCTGGAGGGGACGCTGTCTGGGAAACCATTGCCTATGTTCCAGAGGAACAGGATGAGCTCCTGAGATGGAAGGTAGTGGGAATAACTGGGGATGGGGGGAGCGGGATGATGGAGTCAAGAGAACGGTCATGACGGGGGAATGAAATACTTGAGAGCTGTAACAGAAGGAGGGAACAGTATGCTTAGGGAATAAAGAAAGGAAACAATTACATTATAGGGAGAGACTCTTAGAGACTTGGAGGAAGAGTTAATTAAAAGGAGCAACGATACAGAATGTCTGCGAACCCCACTGGACTTCAATTTATTAAATATTAGAATGGTAATCTTGCAGTCAGAGAAAATCTTGGTAAGCATCCCTTCAATGCAAGAATCAGTTTTAAAATATCCTTGGGTGATGTCCTCTGTCAAGCCTGTGCCTGAGAAGTGTGGCATTGAACTCAGACTGATTGGCTACAGGTTTTGTTTGTTTTTTAAATTCCCTTGTTGGCTCTTTTTATTTCTTTATATTTGACAGAAGTGCCTGCCGTAGTAACTTCTGTGTTGATCTTAGTTCTGTCTCCAAAGTGAAAGACCTGTCAGCTCTTTCTTTCACAATCCTGACTTTCAGATATGTGAATTCAGCTGTTACAACTCCTCCTCACGAATTCTTTTCTAAGAAGAATAGCCTCGTCCTTTGATGGGTCTTCACGTAATATGATAATCTGAACTTCTTTGGAAATTCTCCTGTTTATCAGCTTTCTTCTTAAAATGTAGCACCTAAAATAAATGTAGTTCTTTAGATATATTTTGAAAATACCCAAAGATATGATGTACTTGTTTTTTCTGTTTGCTTATACTTCTGCTGATTAGTGTCAGATTGTATATGCTTTGTGAAAACCAGCAATATTGTACCACAAACCATAGATCTTTTTTACATAAACTGCAGTGAACTAGATTTACACCATCCTTGTGTAATGGGGTTGTTTTTATCCTTAATGTGAGTACTTCACATTTATGCCTGTTCAATTTTTTGGCCAAGTTTTCCAGTCTGTCAGAATAATTTTGAATCCTAATTTAGTTATTCAGTTTTTTAACTCTTCTTTCCAACTTTATGTAACTAGCAGATTTTAATGAGTATTCCTTCTGTTTCTTTCTACATGTCATTGAACAGGTCAGGGTACAGACAGACCCCTGTGACATGTCACTATAGATTTCCTTCTGCATTAGCATTGTCTTTACATTCTTTAGGTATGGTTAGGCAGTTAGGTATGGTTTAACTTATTAGCATACTGTCTTTTTTTCAAGTGTTAAAAATAATATCATTGGAAACCTTAACATTATACATATATATTCATATGTTTGAGTTATACTTAGTATTTCTTCTCAGTTCCTTGCCTCTCATATTTTATAAATGTTCTTTTTAATTCTCAGTTCCTAAATGAGCCAGAATAGTATCATTAAGTGTCTTTTTTTTTCTTTGGTATCTTTCACGATTGTAGAATTAGAACTAACCTTCTTGAGCCTATGTCCTTTTGTTTTCGACATAATCAACTTTTATTACAAATCAGCAGCTGCAATTGAGAAATAAGAACATGATTTTATTATTATTATTACTATTATTTTGAGCCTATGTCCCTTGTAATCATGATAATACTTGCTAACATTTACTGAGTGCTTACTATGTGCCAGGCACTAAGTTGGTTTCTGTAACTGTTACCATTGTTGGTTTCTGTTACTTGACTTTACTGAGACATTTCTTTTGATTCTGTTTTCCTAAAGTTTTGGTTATATATCTGTCCATGCACAACATTTTCTTTCACTATTCAAAACTCTGAGATAACATCTTCATTTTTTACTCAAGATTTCTGCCACAAAACAGTTTTTTCTTACTGTTCAAAATTAAGTTGAGAGTAATAGTTCCCTTTATTGCTCTACTTTCTGAGGCATGAGACTATTGAGATAAATCAAGAATTTCTTGATTAACACACTTTTTATAAAATGGGATTTTCATACCTATCCAGACAGTTGGAACCACTTTAACCACTCTAGCTTTCCTCCATATTATCCATCACCCCCACTTGCCTAAACAGTTCATGGCATGCGCTGTCAGCAATTCAGTGTAGTGAATTACCTAATATGGCCCTTCTAGTCATTCATGATCTTGTGACTCCTACAAAATGATTGGGTGGGACTCTGCAAATAAGGTGCTTGTGGCCCATCAGTGGGATTGGACAACTTATTAATAATGCAAATAAGGTGCATGGAACCCTTGTGGAGGTGGGACCGTGCAAATAAAGTGTATGGAACTCTAACAGGTCAGTTTTGCCATCCTGCTAGGCTTAAAATGAGCCATCCCAGAGGCTAGGGGGAGAGGGGGAGGGCTCACTACCATGAAGAATAAGCCAGGAGCAGAGTGTGTCCTTTGGACCTAGGCTCTCTGTGCTGAGAACCTCCTAGACCCAGGAGACAGAGCTGTAACACCAGAGACAGCGTGAGATGATGAGAAGCAGTGGCAGCAGAACCAGGAGACTAGCGTGAAATGGTGCAGTGGGCTTCCTGACCCACAGAGCGAGAGAGCTGAGCATTTTCAGGCAGGAGGCTTCCTTGCAGAGTAGGGTGCTTCTGGGCACTTATTGGCAGTGCTAAAAGAGCTTTGTAATACTTGCCTGAGCAGAGTAGAGGCCGAGGGCTGAGAGAGGAGATCTATCCCGAGGGGGCCTAGAGGAGCCTGTCCTCAGGGGACCAAGAGAAGCCCTGCACGGCTGAGAGGAGCTGAGAGAGCTGTCCTGCACTGAAGAAGGGAGACTTTGCCTACATGCTTCATGATTCTGATCCTCAGTTGTAGCCTGTTGATCCTGATGCCGAGTTGTAACCTGGTACTTCCATAATAAACCCCATAACTGTATGATCTGTGAGTTCTGTGTGGCCATTGCAATAAATTATCGAACTCAGCGGAGTGCTGTGGGAGCGACGGTAAAAAGGTTGGAGAGAGGAGGTATGTCTGACCTTCACCTCATAGGAATCAGCCTTGGGCTGATGCTGACCTTGATTCTCTCTCTTTCCCCTTGTGAAGTTAGACAAAGTCTGACGTCCACACACCATTTTTGCAACATGGTGCTGCTTTCTTTTTTCTCTCCTTTTTGGCTTAATCTGCAGTTTCCCTCAGGTTTCACTGTCAGGATTATTGCACTGCATTCAGTTAGTCCATCTGTTTCTGTCAGATAATTTTAAATAACTTATACCCAGCCCTCTTTTAACCAAGGCTTGCTCATGAAACCCACACTAGGCCATTGGAATCTCTCTGGCATTTGAATATTGGGAATAAAATCAGATGGCACTCACATGGGGTCACCATGAGTCAAAATTGACTCCACAGCAGCTGGTGGTGGTAGACCTACCCTGATGGTGGTATCCCAAAGAGGCTGCTGATTAATGGTCCAGCTTGGATCCCCTGAGAGGACCTAGGTTCTATTTCTGATTGTTCAGCTTTTCTTATTATTCAGGTTCCCCGATGTCCTTACAATGAATTACTTTTTAGTTTTTTGTTTGTTTTTTAAATGATATAGTTTGATGGAGTCCCTGGGTGGTGCTCCACTGCTAACCAAAAGGTTGGGGGTTTGTATCCATGCAGAGGTACCTTGGAAGAAAGACTTGGCGGTCTACTGCTGAAAAATCAGCCATTGAAAACCCTATGGAGCATAGTTCCACTCTGACACACATGGGGTTGCCATGAGTTGGAGTTCACTTGATGGCAAATGGTATATAGTTTGATGGTCTTATTCCAGTTACGAGTTCCATCTCAGTAAACCTTGGTAATACCTGAGATACTGTGTTTTCCTCCTTTTGTTCAGGTATAAGTTCACTTGATTTATTGCCCCTAACTCATGCATTAGTGTATGGATATTGTGATTGTAGTTATCCTTCATCCTTCCTGCCCCCCCCCGCCTTTTTTTCCTTGATTTTTACCGAGCATCTCTTGCTGCATTATTATTCCTTCTGTTTCAAACCACCTGTATCTCATTCAGATTTTATATCCAGAAACATCTTCCTCTTCTAGCCTTTTGGCATACATCAAACTTCACAGGGGAGAAAATTCTTCCTGTCTACTTCTTTGTGGAAACAAGTACACCTAGTTTGGTTTTCTCCATCATTATTTCCTCCTTGGGAGAGTTTTTAAAGTTACGTTTGTCAGGTATTTGTCTCCACACTATTAAAGATGAGGAAATTGAAGCTTGGAGAAGACAAGAGACTTGTGTAATTATATACAGTTAATCACCAGGGAAATCATTTTGAGAATTGTACTTTCCTGTCAACCAGTACTCTGTGAATAGACCTCCCCAAGAGCAAAATGTGCTTTTGTTTGAGGTATAAATTACATATAGCAAAGTGTGTAAATCTTAAGTGAATTAATGAATTTTTATATATGGATTTACCATTGTAACCACCACTCAACGCTAAGGTATAGAATGTTTCTAATGTCCCGGAAGGCTCCCTTGTGCCCATAATCAGTCAGTAGCTCCTCTACAGGTAACCACTATTCTAAATTCCATCACTGTAGATCAGTTTAGTCTGTTTTTGAATTTCATATAAATGGAGTCATATAATATATATTATTTTGTGCATGGCTTATTTTGCTCAATATTATGCTTATAAGATGAATCTATGTTATTAGGTATATGAATAGCCTGTTCTTTTTTATTGTAGAATGGTATTCCATTGTATGAATATACCACAGTTTCTTATCCATTTTCCCGTTGAAGGGCATTTCGGTTGTTTCCAGTATTGGGATAGTATGAATAAACTGGCTATGACCATTCTTGTACAAGTCTTTTGGTGGATGTAAGCACTCATTTCCATGGGTGTATGCATAGGAATGGAATTGCTGAGTCATAGAGTAGGCATATGTTTTGCTTTATAGTACATACTACCAAACAGTTTTCCTAAGTGGTCGATAAATTTGCACATCCACAGCAGTGTATAAAAGTTCCAGTTGCTCTACATTCTTGCCAGCAGTAGTACTGACCATGTCTGTTTAATTTTAGCCATTCTGGTGGTTGCATAGTATGTCACTGTGATATTTAATTTGCATTAGTAGTACATTTTCACAGGGCCTATGAAGACTCTTGGAAAGTAGTCTGATTATTTCTTCATACTTTATATGTAGTAGAGAAGGCAGCAGAAATATTTTCCCTCACTTAATGTAAAGGAAGTATAGTTTCTGTTATTTTCAAATAGAAAAGTAAGTGGATTTTATGGATTTGCTGGGAGCAGCTGAGTTAGACAGGATTCACTGTGGCTTCTTCTTCCTCTAGATCTGTCCTCTCCAGACTCTGCTCTTCTCCAAGGGGGACGTACAGATAAAGAGGGACTGACCCCTCTTGTCCCATCAGCCAGTTTTCAGGTAAGTTGGAATTTCCTGAAATGTCATTTTAGTCCCTAGAGTGGGATTGTATATTCTTTGTTTGCCTTGGAGAATGTTTGCTAAAAACCAATATTGGCAATTCATTCGGAACTCCCACCTGCCCATGACCGCCTTACTAGCTCTGCCTCTCCAGCTTTAACTAACATATTCACCCTTATCTCTTGCTCATTATCTTGCTATGCTTCAGGGATGCGAGACGAAAAGAGGTACAAAAGTTGATCCTTGCATAGGCCAAAATGACTGTTAAAAAAAAACAGGTAAATATAAGAAAGGTGAAATGAGTACAGGTAGTCCCTGACTTAAACGGAGTGTTCCATTCTGATGACTGTCTTAAGTCAGTTCTGACATAAGTTGAATACCTTGTGTTTTGTTTTTTTGTTTAGTTTTCATTATTATTGCCTTTTACTATCAGTATCTTTATTAATCTGATTTTTGTTTGTCTTTGGAGGTTGGTGTGAGAATGATAACATTAGCAGATTACGCGCTGCAGCATTGTATGTAGTACATATTACTAATGAGCAGATGTACAAAAAAAAAAAAAACAGATGATCATAAGTGCAGTTTGGCGTAACTTGAATACGTTGTAAGTCGAGTACTGTGGAAATGAAAGAATGGAAAAATATATAAGATCTGGAGGTAGTAGGGAAGTTTGATGGAGGAACTAGGATTTGACGTACCTCTCAAAGGTGGATGACATTTGGATATTTGAACAAGTGAAACATGGTAAGGAGAGGAATTCTAGATATGGAGAAGATTATGAGCAAGGTTCACAAATAAATGTTATGCAGGATTCAGAACAATGTGGAGGAAATGGTTTATTTTGGCAGTGGTAAACAAATGGTTGAATAAGATTAGAATATGAAAGGTCTTGAATGTCTAGATGAGAAGCTGATGGCTTTATTCTATAGGCCATTTGTGAACCATTAATGCTTTTTGAGGAGGAAAGTGACATGATAAAATGTTTTAGGAAAATCCAATAACTGACTGAGACTTAGACAAAACAGGGTTAATAGTTTCTCCAGCAGCCATAATCAACCTCAAACCCTACATTAATCCTTCTTAAACTTTTTCCTGCCCACAATTTAATCTTTTTACAAGGAAATGGTCCCATTTCTTGCTACTTTCAGCTCAAGTACTTTTTGTATCACTTTTTTATTGAAGTATACTGTGACAATACACTGAACATATTTTTTTAGATACACTATTTTTTCTAAATTTTTGGAACATTTTATTGTGTTTTAGGTGAAAGTTTTTCTATCAATATTATATATTTAAATTGTTCTGTGAGATTGGTTGCAATCCCTGCAGTGTGTCAGCACTCTCACCATTTCCTCCCTGGGTTCCCTGTTACCATTGGTCCAGTTTTCCTGCCCCTCCCTGCTTTCTCATCTTTGCTTTTGGGCAAACGCTGCCGTTTTGGTCCAGTACAGTTGATTATTCTAAGGAGCACATTTCTCACAGGTGTTACTGTTTATTTTATAGGCCAGACTATTATTTGACTGAGAGGTGGCCTCCAGGAGTGTCTTCAGTTTCCAGTTAGAAGGTTGTCTTAGGGCAATAGTCTTGGGGGTTCCTTTAGTCTCTATCAGACCAGTAGGTCTGGTTTTATTTATTTATTTATTTATTATGAATTTGAGTTTTGTTCTACATTTTTCACCCATTCGAACCAGGACCTTCTATTGTGGTCCCGGTCAGAGTGGTTGGTAGTGGTAGCTGGGCACCATCTAGTTCTTCTGGCCTCAGATTAGAGGTGGCTATGGTTCATGTGGGCCATTAGTCCCTTGGACTAATTGCTTCCTTGAATCTTCAGTTTTCGTCATTCTCCTTTGCTCCAGATGGGAAGAGACCAGTAATTGCATCATAGATGGCAGCTTTTGAGCTTTTAAGACCCTGGATCCTACTCATCAGACTAGGATGCAGAACATTGTCTTTATGAACTGTGTTATGCCAATTGGCCTAGATGACCCCCGAGACTATGGCCCTTAGCCTTCAAGCCCAGTAGCTTAGTCCTGCAGGGTGTTTGGTTATGCCTAAGAAGTTTCCATAACTGTGCCCCCTAAGTGCTCTATTATATATATGAATATACATGCTCTACTTACATATATGTATGTAGAAATATCCACAACCAAATCTGTATAACCACGTAGGTGTCCTATACAACTTCTCATATCTATTTAACGTACATATCTGTGTATCCTTTGGTAAATTATTATTTATTATTACTGTTGTTGCAGGATTGTATATGTTATAGTATTTACCTTGGTTGGCCTTTATTCTTGTGTACCTCTCAGTGTCTTCCTTTGTCTTGATCCCCTTGTGCTAACTTCTCACATATTGTGTATTGTCTTTCCCTTCATCGATATTTACATGTATCTACTGTCTAGTTAGTGATTTTTCCTTCCTCTCCCTCCCATCCCTGGTAACCATCAAAGAATGTTTCTTTCTGTGTGTAAATCTTTTCTTGACTTTTGTAAGACAAATATCTCATACAATATTTGTCCTTTTGTGATTGGCTTATTTCATTCAGCATAATGTTGTCCAGATTGATCCATGTTGTGAGATGTTTTGTGGATTCATCTTTATCAGTGTTCTTTATCATTGCTAAATACACTGTATTTTTTACAGCAGTTTAGGTTTAGAGGAAAATTGCACAGAAGATACAGAGAGTTCTCATACACCTGTGCTCTCCTGTGCACATTGTTTCTTCTGTTATTAACATCTTGCATTAGTGTGGTACACTTGTTACGATTGATGAACCAATATTGATATGTTATTAATTAGTCACCCCTTAAGCAATGCATGGATTGGTTTTTAAATGTTAAACTAACCTTGTTTTCCTGAGATAAACTCCACTTAGTCAGGACGTATTATCCTTTTGACATATTGTTGGATTAGATTTGCTAAAATTTTTATGAGAATTTTACATCTTGGTTCATGAGTGATATTGGTCTGTAGTTTTCTTTTTGTATGAGTCCCTCGGTGATGCAGATCGTAAGCACTTGTCTACTAACTGAAAGTTTGGTGGTTCAAATCTACCCAGAGGCACCTGGGAAGAAAGCTGTGGCAATCTACTTTGAAAGATCACAGCCATTGAAAACCCTGTGCAGCCCAGTTCTACTTTGAAATATACGGGGTCTCCATGAGTTGGAATTGACTTGATGGCAACTGGTTTGTGTTTTTTTGGTTTCTTTTCTTATAATGCTTTTGGTTTTGGTATCAGGATAATGCTCCCCTCATTGAATGAGTTTGGAAGTATTATCTCCTCTTAAATATTCTGGAAAAGTTGAGTAGATTTGGCACTGTTTCTTCCTTAGATTCTTGGTAGAATACACCGGTCAAGTTATAGGGCCTGAACTTTTTGTTGTTAGGTTTTTAATTTCAATTTCAATTTTTTAAATTGATTTCTGACATTTCAGGTTTTTTTTTTCTTGAATAGGCTTTGTACTTTATGTCTTTTAAGGAACTGGTCCATTTCATTTAATTTGTCAAATTAATCAGCATAATGGTATTCCTAACAGTCCCTTTTTGTACTTTCAATGTCTGTAGAATCTGTAGAGATTCTTTCCTGATATTGGTAATTAGTTTCTTCTCTCTTTTTTGCTGGCCTTCTGTCTAGAATTTTATCATAGATTTTGGTTTCGCTGGTGTTCTCTACTATTTTCCTGTTTTCCAGTTCATTGATTTCTGCCCTGTATTATATCCTTCCTTCTGCTTACTTTGGATTTAATTTGTTCTTCTTTTAGTTTCCTAGGATGGAAGCTGAAATCATTGATTTGAAACCTTTCTTCTTTTCTAATAGAGGTATTTAGTGCTATAAGTTTCCCCTTAAGGACAGCTTTGGCAGCATCCCGCAAATTTTGATGTTTTGTATTCATTTTCACTTAGGTCAAAATACTTTATAATTTCCTTTTTGATTTCTTTTTTGACCTATGGGTTATTTAGAAGTGTGCTACCTAGTTTCTGAATACTTGGTGATATTCCATATCTTCCTGTGAAAGAGATTATAGATAGTCCCCGACTTATGATGGGGTTCTCTTCCGACAACTCTGTCCTCAGTTGGGTTCTGACGTTAAGTCGTATACCTCATTGTTTTTTAGTTTTCATTATTATTGTCTTTTATTATCAGTATCTTTATAAATCTGATCTTTATTTGTCTTTAGGAGTTGGAAGCATTACATATAAACTTACACATATATTTTGATACATACATACATAAAAAATACACAAATCAGGGTGGGGCCAAGATGGCAGAGTAGTCAGATGCTTCTGGTGGACCCTCTTACAACAAAGACTGGGAAAAAAAAGTGATTCGATTATATATGGCGCTTTGGGAACCCTGAACATCAAAGGCAGAGTTGAGGAACTGGACTGAGTGGCAGGGGGAGGGAGAGATGGTTCAGAAGCAGCCAGGAGTTGCCAGACCTGACCCGGTGAGAGCCTGAGCCTTTCAGGCATGAGCAGCTCCTGGGGGAGCAGTGAGGCAGGCAAGCAGCCATGCTTAGGAGGCACACTTTGCACACCAGGAGAGACGCAGAGGCAGAGACTCTACCTGGCCACCCAGAACCAGTGAGAAGCAGCCCTCATCAGCGAAAGAGAAGTAACTGCATATGGCCTACTGCATGGATTGAAAACACCCCCCTTAGGGAAAAACCTCTCTCCCATTTATCTCCCAGCTCCCTGCTCTGCACTGGGTCCTGGACCGGCTTCAGCAATTGCTGAGTCACCTGGGCTGGAAGTAGGATCTGTCACGTGCCCAGAACCATTCTTCTGGCCTGGGAGAGTGAGCAAGTTAACAAACAGGAAAAAATAAACTGTTGGCTCCCCTAAGCCAGGAACCCAGGGTAGGCACAGCTCCTTGGCTTAGGCACAGGCATAAGGGATCCACAGACTCTGAGCGCCTTTACCTCTGCATAGACTTGTGTGGGCCTATCTCAACAGTGTAGGTCCTCATTACCACAGTACAACAGGGCATATACCAG